AAAATAAGCAAGATAAATTCTAGAAAATGTTATTCTGCAAATAAGAACATGATTATTTCTTAGACTTAGCACATCAACAGGGGGATGGTAACTACTGAACATGGGATAAGAATTTTTTCTTGCAGTTAGGAGCTTTTCCAAGTCAAGTTCAAATGTGTTATTTATTTTCATTCAGCTACTGAGGGAACTGTATAGCCACYGCCTGTCACTAAGCAATCCATGCAGCCCATTTCTTCATCTGTCTGCAAACTCTAGCCTCAAACCTTGCAGTGCTCAATCTTCAGTTTACATTAAGAGTAGCACAAACATGGGATATTCACCAGGTAAGTGAGCACAGTGAGACTGAAGTGTCAAACTTTTTTGCTCAAACCCTTAATTGCCACTCTGCCCCAAGGAAAATATAAATGAAAAGCAATAGTTACTGCAGCTAGTAAGCAATTAGATAGTACAAATAGCATGGTAAGAAGAAGAATGCAAAAATGAGGGAAATCCTACTGTGACAACACAAAGATATTCATACAGAAATTTAGAAAGCTAGTGAGTAAACAGTAAAAGAAACAGGCTTTAAAAATAAAGACACTATATGTCTGTGTTTCCTGTTACAGCCAAGTGAATAACTTCACYTTGATGAGTGGTACTACGTGTGCATATGGGAGAATTCTGATATCTTTCTGAGAAAAAGGAAACAAAGGTTTTATTTGCCCTGTTCCATAAAAAAAAATATAGCTCAGTGCAGTAACAATGCACTGGCAACTTCATAAAATCCTGATATTTTAATGTGGCACACTATTAAAAATATTAATTATAACTAAAAATATTAATTATAACTATTAATGTTTCTCAGGATGACAACTTTGACAGAAAAGTTTTGCAGCAGTTTGCAGCAGTTCTCCTCATAGATAATTTTAGAACATGGGAAAGAAAGGAAACCCTTTTCTTGAATTTTACTTTGCCACGAGCTAGTCCGATTAATGGAATGGTTTATAATCTGTCAAAAATAGCTGCAGTTTTCTGAGACAATGACTATAGCTTTCTGAAAAGAATGAGCTCTCTAAGCTCATTCAAATGTGTGACATCAAATATTTTCTTAAGTTTCAGCAAGAGATATAACTTAGAGAAAGAAAAAAAAAAAGCCACCACAAATACATCAAATTCAGTTGAGAAAAATTCTAAACATTCAGAAATACTCTGTAAAGAATCCCTAGCGTAATTTGTGTGATAYACGCTATTGTGCCTAGTTTGTATTTCTCCAAGGATGGAAAATAGTGTTTGGCAAATTGTTTATGGTGGTATCTCACCTAAAAAGCGCACACGTGTATGTGCCCACACTTCCTTAATATCTCCATAACTGTGAAAAGCTTGTTTTAAAATTTCTTTCACTTATGGTGCAAGAGGATTTGGCATGGTGGCTTCGGGCCCTGCAACACTTGCTGTCAACATATGATCCCACTAATTCAAAGGGATTATTACTTACATGACACTATCCATTCAGGCCCATGTTAGACAAGACAGCAGGAATAAAGGTTGGTTACTGGACCCAAATCTTAGTCGTGTCACAGAAACAACCAGTGAAGAAGCTGACAGCAATTATTAGATTATGTTAATTGCTGTGACAAATGTTACCTCTTGCTAGAGCTTAGCCATAATGAATTCTATTCTCCTCCCATGTTTACCAGCTGTCACACCACCTATTTCATAAAAATACCATTAGGGTCAGCTGATTCACATGCCCCAGTTGGTTTTGAATGAAAAGTTCCTCAAAGTGTCGCTTATGAATTATCAAATAATCAAAATGCTTTACCTTTCTTTTTCAATACTGACACACACCTTCTCTTCCCTATCGTACGCTTTTCAGACTTCTGTCCTCTCTTTTAGGATTTAACACTTTCTTTATACAATCAGTTACATTTAAAATAAAGAAACAAACAAAACCTCCAAACCACTGTTAAAGTCTCATTTGCCATTCTAAACATACCGCTTTGCCAGGCTAACAATTTTACTGGCTGCTGGTCTTTTCTCACTAAAATACACTCTTTGTCCTAAGTCTCATGTGCACAAGTCTTCCTCTGTCTAGGTCTCAAATGCTAAAGCTCCCCAGCTACTGCCTCATGAATTTCACATATTTTGTCTTTTAACCTCCCTCTGTCACTCCTGGAATTCACATCTATCATCTTCCAAACTGCTGTCAGAGTTTGAACCATCTCACATGTCTCGATTGTCAAGGAATCTTGCAGTCCTCAAAATCTATTCACTGTCTTCACTTCCATCATTCATTGTTACAACTTAACTACAACTATTTAAAGTACAGTAATTCATTAAAAACTACGGAATTATGAAAAAAATGGTATCCAGAAAAAAAGAGACTACTTTTCTGTACAAGAACTAGATCTGCAACCTGATTTTTTTTTAAGTTTGCATTTAACTAACATTAGAATTTTCCTGATTTTTTTTTAAACAGAAAACTGTCAGGAATTACTTCTTATCATATATTTTTTCTTAAATGCGCTGCCAGATTAGGGTTCTCAGTCCTTATAATTCATACACAATTCTACTTAGATCTTTTCTGATGGTTTAGCTTTAGAAAACTAATCTTTTTCTCTATAATCCACTGAACTTCTACAATCAAAAATGTATTTATAAATACAATTTCTTGCTGTCCCACAAGTCATTTTCACTGAGTGGTTTACAGACTAACAACATAATTCTACTATTTGCATGAAAACATGTAACTCAAAGCTCAAAGTATTGCTAATGAAGTCAGTTTATCTGAGGAAAATAAATGTAAGAAGGATTAAAGAACTACAGCATGGCCTTTACATTCACAGATTGTGTACAAGAGCTATGATCTTCCTCACCTTTTGAGTTTAGTGTCTTTGACTTCCCCTAATTGCATCTGTATATGATATGTGGTCTCTCTCTCTTCTTCAGAAATCTCAGGATTAGGCTTTTATCTGTTTTTCCAACTTCTTTAACCGAAGGCAAATAGAGGATATAATCTATCTTCTCAGACAGATTTGGGAATGGGACCTGCACATCTAACCATGTCAGCAGTGGTTAGTCTGAAGGACAGAAAAGCCATATAGGGTAAATCAGATTGTGCTAATAAGATCTCCTGCAGCTGAGATCAAGTACAGCAAAACATCTTATGCTGCATTAAAAAAAAAAAAAAGAAAAGAAAAACAGTCTGTCCTTTCTAACCCACAAGGATCACAATGAGCTTTTACATATTGCATTAACAGGAATAGGGCTCAAGGCTGGCTACCAGAGATAACCAACGTGAAAGATAATCTTGTGGTTAAACAAGTACTCGGTGGATAGAGATTCGGTTTCAGGTTATGCCACAGATTCACCATGCGAAGCAGAAGTTGGCATTACCTTTTTTTCTGTGCCCAACCTTCATCTTTCTACAAGAGAAACAGCAGCTCTTTTTTTGTTTGTTTTTTTTTTTTTTTTTAATTTTTTCATGTATCAAATTAAACTTAAGCTCTTCACAGAACAGACCAGTTTGTGTGCACAACCTACGTTTAACACAATGGTCTTAGCTAGATCCTGCAAACTAAAAAATAAGTAGTTATACTTTCTGATACAGTTCTTATTCTTAGCCACCTGACCATCCCATCTGTCAGCAGCTCTAAGCAGAGCAGCAAAGTTTCAAGCCTACTGCCCAGCTATGAAAGAASAGCAAAACAGCCAAGACATTCCTCTAAAGTTTCTGAAACAAACAGCAAGATAAAGGAAGGAAAAAAACAGCACCTTACTCAAACCAGGTGCTACTCAACAAGRGCTCCGCTTTCACACTCACTGTTGGGCAGCAGGTAGGTGACCAGTTAGTGCACACAACGGGACTACCTAAATCAACAAGTACCAAGCTTGAGGCTAGCCAGAAGTTGTTCTGCTTTTGGTGCGGGGGAGTTTTTGTAAAAACAGAAACTAAATTAGACTACGGTCTGAAAGGCTGGAAAAGGAAAGATCTGGGGTCACCGTACTCTCATGTGCATAAAGGAAACATGGGGGCGTGGGGTTTTGCTGGCTCTGCTGARAGCAGAATATCGAGTTTTTTCACAAAACAAACACACCAACCAATCAGAAAGAAAATAAAAAAGGCCTGGCCCTTGAGTGGCGTTTCTTTATTCTGACAGGTGCTTCAAAGGGCTCCTATCAGCCCGTCGGCTGCAGCACCTCCCCGCCGTGTTTGAGCAGGATGCCYGCGGCCCTAACGCGTTTCTGCTGCGGGAAACCCCCAGGAAAATTCTCGTTCTCCATCACGGAGGGGCTGAAAACTAAGACTTCTCGCTGGGCTCTCCGCGTTGATTCGCCTTAAAATCCCTTCCAGCTCGGCCAAGAGCCGCGTTGCGGCGGCGAGAAGTTTCCCCTCAGCCCGCGCGGCCCAGCCTGCTAACGGCGGCGGTTACCGGCGACCGTTACCGGCGACCGTTAACTCCTCCTCTGCCCACCCCCTCCCCCGCCAACGCTAACGTCCCGCAACGGCCGCTGGCAGCCGCTCGCGCACCCGCCGCCGGGCAGCGCCGTTACCGCCGCGGCCCCAGCCGCTTCCTCCGCCGCGGAGAGGGGCCGGGGCGGCTCGCGTGCCCTCCCCAGGCCCCGGGAGGGGCGGCGGGAC